CTAACATGGAACAAGGTAGAAAGTTGAAAGCTCTTTCAATACTGAAATACCACTGATCAAACCAGTGTTACCTTTCCTTACTGAATGACCAAATAGAATACAACACTAGTGATAATGACAGTCTATTGAATTACATCATGGCTAATTCATTGTTAGAATAGAATGAAAAAATAAGTCTTAGTTGATTTAAAAACGTGAAGTAGAAATGATTAATTCTGTCAGTTTTCAAAAATCAATCTATAGGAATTTGATTGGCCTCATATTTTTTATCACAGACTGATATCAGTTAAAGAAACATTGAAAACCAAGAGTACTGGTTAGGGCTTCTTCCTGATTTGGAACTCTTCAGCAGTAAAAATCCACGATTTCATCAGAGGTGGAACTGAAACCCTCAAGTTATGAAGCGACCTCGTTAACCATTCAGCAACTCAAATGGAATCCAGTGACCCACAGATTCTTTCTTCCTCTAATTCGAGTTTTTAACGCCGCAACCATATAGTGTCATCGGCAAGTGTTTATCCTCATACGTGACTTGTTACACCCCGCTGGTTACGACCTCCCATTAGAACTTTGGACAACTTCTTCGTCTAGTCAGTTACCAGCATGCAGCAGATTAATCTTAAAGTGTTAGCTTGTATCGGTTTGATTGATTTAAAGTTTGATCACGGATTCATACCAGATAGAGAAGAGTCTCACGCCCCGAGACGAAACAGCTGTACAGAAATTCTAGGTTTTTAGTGACTGTGTTACTAGTATCTGTCGGTGTTCAAACTTGAGACCGATCATTTTGATAACCTTGTGATAGCTTATCGCAAAGTAAGTGTGATAAAATTATATAAATAGTAAGCAGATGCTCGACTTAAATTGGTAGATGCAGACTGTGGGAGATACGTCTGACTTTCATCAGTTAAAAGACCTTCAATAACTGCTATGGTTATCACTTGTATGAACAGCGCAATACAAAAGGATTAGACTATCGGTATTGCATCAATATAATAATGACAGAATGTGAATATTTACGTGAAACCTGGAACCAAAAGATTAGGAATGTGAATAAAAGTAGTGTGGTGAGAGCTGGCTGTTAGTCAAAATTGGTGTACAGTAATTTACGTCAATGTTTATGTCCCCAATACTAGTCGTGAGAAAAATGAGAACAAAGGCTTTGCATAGGCGGACACAGTTAACATATAGGTAATCTGAGATTCAAGAAACAGCCACAAAGAAATGCAAGGTTAAACTTTCTGTGAGAAACAACCAATCAGAAGACTGTGTTTTTCTGCTAACAATAATCTATAATATGTACATGAAAATCTATAAATATGTGTTGATTTCCATAATAAACGATCTGTTGCCTGGCCCTTGTCTTCTGTTGTAACATTTGGTGTCGCTGCCTACCAACAAATGGAAAGCCTATGCCCTGCAGTTTTTGATTGAGACATATAGATCTTCGGGCAGGACTTCGAGGCTTCTGCGCAGTTAAGTGGCGTTCAAGACCTGTCAGCGATAAGGCTGCTACTTGGGACCCTGCTGGGAGTTTGGGAGAAAGCAGCATATCAAAGTGTGAGGCAAAATAACGATGACCTGTTGCCAGGCCCTTGTCTTCTGTTGTTACAATAGTTCCACTGTCAGAAAATTTTCAATGAGATAAGAACAAAAAGCTTAGGAAAGTTATTTTCTCTATGATTTAAAACTCTACAATCACATTTTTATTTACAAATGAATATAGTTACAATTATTGCTTAGTCCAACGCAGTAACGAATGAAGATTATGGGTGATAATAACCGTCAACTTGATATGAAGGTCTGAAGGTGAAAATATGCATAATTCCATTACGGATAAAATTTTATTTTGATAAAGTCATATGATGTTATACAATAATATTTACTGATGACTTTTCGAGGTCATCTACATAGGTCAAGCTAGTAGATCAGAAGTAATGAGATTATGAGAACATAAGAATTTAGCTAAGTTTAGAATGATTGATCTCAAGAAGATAAGTAATTTAGAAAAAAAGCTCAGCAATCACACTGCGTGCATTAACACACAACCACACAATAGCATGGTGGGACAGAGTCAAAATTCTAAGAAGTAATATAGGCAGGTGGAGAGAGAGAGATTTGATTACTGAATCCTGCCTGGTTCACAGAGTCTACACCCGACAGATGCAATAGAAGTGAGTCAACGCAAATACCAGAGATATGGAAGATATTATTACCAGTCAAATCAGAAGATAATAAATAATGTAAAAGTGTATTCAATTCACATTATAACATTCTTATAAGTTATTTATTTCACTGTAAAAACATCTTATTTCCCATTTTATTGACTAACAACACTCGTCTTATTTCCCATCCTGTTCTATGTTATTGATAAAATTAATATTGCATGGAGGATTTCATCATGAGCTGACATCAGTTAGAGAACCACTGGAAGAAAGCCTGGGAGCACTGAACAGCTGTTTCGTCCTAATTTGAGACTCTTCAGCAGTACACACCCACCGGGGTTCGAACCCAGGACCTTCCGATCACAGGGTGATCTCGTAGACCACTGAGCCCCTGGGACCCGATACAATGGTCCTTTAATTCTAAGCCGTGACCATTAGGGTACAGCAGGTTCAAGATAGAGCAGTAACTCATCGAAGAAGACATTGCGAAGTGGTCGCGCTATGTCATGAATTGGCAGAAGTTAGAATTCATGGACTGGCCATTGGATCGGGTCCCAGTGGCTCAATGGTCTACGAGATCGCTCGCTTTGTAGACAAAAGCTCCTGGATTCGAACCCTGGTGGTTGGTGCGTACTGTCAAACAGTCCCAAACTAGGCTGACGAAACAGCTGTCCAGTACTCCCGGAGGTTTTCCAATGGTTCTCTAACTGATGTCAGCTCATGGTGAGATCCTCCATGCAATCAAACAAAATCCCTACGAAACCATTACTTGAAAAACTAATATTATTATTTCCGAGTGTAATTTATCTTCCTTTCTGTTTCATGCAAGTCTTATACTGTTTTTTTTATTCAAATGTCAAATCAGTTTTTACCAATGTATATGAACGAAGCAAAACAAAGCTGTGTGAGTGCCTTGATATCATAATGAGCAATATATTTGTGCTCGAAAACTCGTCAGTTAATATTACCATCAAACGAAATCCCTACAAAAACCAACACTTGGAAATTACTATATATATATAACGCTGTATGATTTTATCAAAACAAAATTTTATCCATATTGGAATTATACTCTACCACAATGGACAAGTTTTATCCTTATATGAAGAATATATATATATATATGTATATATATCACAAGGGGCATAGACACAAAATTACATAGAATCAAAAGACAGTTACGTAATATGCAGGATATTTTTTTTAACGATGGCAGATGTAAACGGGATATTCATGGAAACAAACTGAAACAACATTTTTCATACCTGAAGATAAAAACTGCAGGGAATGAAAAAAGACAAATTAGAAGTCAAACAGAATTATGTCCATAGTAAATGTAAATGCTGAAGAGTTCCAAACTAGGACGAAACAGATTTCCAGTACTCCCTGGAGGATTTCCAATGGTTCTCTAACTAATGTCAGCTTGTGATGAAATCCTGAAACCAATCAAATCCCTACAAACCAACACTTGAAATGTGGAACTTGTTTCTTCTGAACACATAGTTCCAGTTTCTCGATGATTATGATGAAGGCTTCTGTAATACAAAAATAATCAGAAACACGCTGCTTCTGGTAGATTTTTGTTTACATTTTAAACGCCTCTAAATGGCGAATGATTCAGTTTAGATGCTGTGACAGGTGGTGATGAGGTGTTCAGTTATAACACTTCTGATTGAATCAATACCGCCTCTCTTCATCCATACTGGATAAGGTTCTCTGACACGTTTTGAAAGGACTTACATGGGGGGGAAATATGTATTCAGCTCAACAGAAGCGGGTTGATTTTTCCATATTGCATAACTGCTTTCTATATATATATAGTTCCCTTAGGTTCCTAGTGGAACATAGGGCTTCAAATCCACGTCTCCACTTGCCACTTCTGTCTTCCTTCTGCTGTACTTTTCACCTTCATCCATCCATGTTAGTCTATACTGTTTCAACTCCTCTTCACACGATCTCCTCCATGTCACCCTCCCACTGACGTCCCACTCGCCGCTTCCCTTTTGGCCTAGTTCCACTCCACTCGAGCAATGGTCTGACGTGCGCGATGTCACGCAGCCACCTCCTCAGCGAGTGTTCAATCCATCCATCTCCACATTCTCCTGCATATTGTTGGCTGGCGATTGGTTCTTGTTTTGTTTGTTTGTTCCCATAGTTTCTTGTTGGTGATTCTTTCCAGTCCGGCCATCTGATCTTCAGTATAGATCCAGCGAAGATAGTTGTTGGTTGATAAAGGTCTGCGAGAGGCTGTTGGAAATATTCTTTGTGACCCGCCGGCCAAGTTTCTCATCCGTATAGAAGAACTGACTGACTTGACCACGTTTGTATTGGAAATCCGAATTTCTGTTGCCATCTAACTTTGTGTCAATGCCCTTTGCGATGCATATTCACACCTTCGAAATTCTATATCACGTTGAGAAGCATTATATCCTTTAATCCCCGTTCATTATTGTGTCAAATTATATAATAATGTTAACTATGTGATCGTACAGCTTTTGAAGATGTAGTCGCCGTGAAGAAAACTTTGATAAGCTTTCTTTTGTTTCTTCGCCAATGTCCTGATGGACATTTCCCCCAACATGGAAGAATTTTAAGCGTCATACAGTCATCAAATAAGTTCTTCACCAAGGTGGTTTTCACTTTTAGCAAAAATCCGAGAAATAGAAATTCTGTCTGAAATGCAATCGACGTGAAAGGAATAATAGAACAGAATCTACGTAAATATACCCATATATAAAAAGTATTTTATTACCTTAAGATAATCTATATTGTAAAGCTGATCATTTTCAGATACAAATAACTTTTGTAAACCTCTATTTTTGTTTCCTCACCTAGGTTCATTTCACAGTGATCATTCGAAGTGATCCAAATCTTAGAATCTCAGATAAAAGTGCTAATCCACGTTTAAGTCATCAGGGTGCAGAACATTTAACTGGCCATCAATCAAATTATGACTATCCTAATTCAAATGAAGACCCATTACGTAAACATTTCACTTATGATGAAAATGACCAACTGGGCAAAGATTATCTTTACAGATCAACAAATATTGATGGTAATATCAATAATGGATTATTATATTCTCAGTCGGGAGTTCAGCATCACAACAGTATAAATCAAGTCATTCGAAACCAATCTATGGATATGGTCAACAGACATTAATTATTATTGTGATGGCTTCTATTGCTGGAGTGCTGTGTGTACTATTGTTGGTTGCTATTATTCTAACAAAACGCTGTGCATTCGATACTGCTTCGACAACAGTAACAGCGTCAACAACGACGAAAGGTATGTTAGAGTTTAAAGTTTGATAAGTGCGTAGGAAAATGCAAAGTATGAAGTTACTATTATTATTATTATTGCCTTGGGTTTCAAGTGGAACAGAGAGCTTCTGTAGCACATCTCCATTTTACCATGTTCTCTGCAGTCGTCTTTACCTAGATCCTCAGACGATGTCCTCATTCATGTTACTGGCACACCTACGCCCAGCTCGTCGTTTCCTATTCAGGTCCCACTCGAGAGCCTCCTCGGAGTGTGATGTCAGTCAGTGGTGTCCTGTGTATATGTTCAATCTATTTCGGTTCTCTTCTGTACATTTGTTAGGCAGTAGGTTCCTGGTTGACTCCTCACTTGTGCTTTAATTAATAAATTACCCTTGCTTGTCAGCATTTTATTGTCTTCCACGTAGACTTCAATATGAAGTGAGCTCTTGGAATTCCTCACGAGTTTATCGGCCATCTTCCCAGGTGATCTTGAATGTATCTGTTTGTTATCGGATAGTCCCTCACCCTCCTGATCACACGTATTGATTAATTTGTTGACCTGATAATGTTCATACGACGTTCCCCTTTAGTTTCTGATAAATCTAAGCTACGTGTATCTTGATTGTAGATCCAAATAAATACCAAGCTTCTAAGAATTTCCTGGCATTCTTGGTGTTCCCCTTGTCTAGTATTCATAGATTTTTCCAATCGAACTTCAGTCCATAGTTATCTGCATCCTATAATATTTGGGAATGAATATCATGTCTTTGAATAGCCAGCTTATTTTCCTCGATGTCAACTTATAGCTGCAACATCTAAAGAATACAAAACCAACAACATCCACAACATGAGATCTGTCAAACACTAAGGTGGGAAGTCACATAAACAAAAGGTCAACAAAATAATCAATACCAACACAAGAGTACAAAAGGAGGAGAAAATCTCCGGAAGCAATCATCCACACCTGAGGTCATCGGGAGAGATGGATATTAATTGTTATTGTTTCCTTTAATTCAAAGAGGAACATAGGGCTTCAGCTGCGCATCTCCAATTGCCTTCGGTTTTCTGCCAACGTTTTCACTCCGCTCCAAGTCTGCCCGCATGCTTTCATCTCCTCTTCACATCACCTCCTCCAAGTCACCCTTACACAGACGACCAACTCGCCTCTTCCCTTTCGGGTTCCACTTGAGGGCTTGTCTAGTGATGTCACTGATGGTTTCCTCAGAGTTTGGCCATTCCATCTCCATTTCTTCCTGCCTATTTGTTTCACAATCGGTTCCTGCTGATTTGGTTCGCTCCCATAGATCCGTGTTGCTGATCTTTTCTGGCCATCTGATCTTGAGTATTGAGCGAAGATAACTGCTAATGAAGGTCTGAAGTTTGTTTGAGATGCACTTTATGACGCGCTAGCCAAGTCTCTGATCCGTATAGAAGCACTGACTTCACAATGGAGTTGAAAATCCGGATCTTATTTTCCATGCTGAGTAGGGAGGGCTGTTGACCTCCACACAGACTTGAAAGTAATGAAAGCTTATCTTGCTTTCCCGTTTCTGGCTTTGATATCCTCGTCAGTTCGGTTTGCCTGTAGGTAAAACGATGCTTTCCAGGTAGGTAGGGAGGTGAAGGAGGTTGTTTCTTTCAGGTTCCTCCCATTTATGCTGGTTGATTGTTGTCTGTTATTGTTGCTGTTGCTGTTGCCCAGGAATCTTCATCACCACTGTTTTATCTATGTTCACCTTAAGGCCTATCTTTGATGCTTGTTCTGCCAGCTTGTTGCTTTTCACTTGCATATCTTCCAGTTTGTGAGAAATCAGACATATATCATCGGCGAAGTCCAGATCCTCCAAGATTTTTGTGTGAGTTCATTTTATGCCTGTTTCCTCACTGCCAGCCGTTGTCTGTCTGTCGCATTATCCAATCTACTACCATCAGGATGATCATTGGTGACAGCAGACAGCCTTGCCTTACTCCCGTCGTCACTTCGAAGGATTTCTTGAGTTTCCCGCTGTGGATTATTTGGCATGCAGCATTGTCGTATAACTGTTGGATCAGATGTATAATTGTCGATGGGCCCCGTAGTAGCGAAGTAGTTTCCAAATGACCTCTCGATCGACGCCATCTGATGAAGGCCTTTTCAAAGTCGATGAAGTTGAGGTAGAGAGGTGACTGCCATTCCAAGCTTTGCTCAATGATGATCCGTAGTGTGGCGATTTGATCAATACATGACTTGTTTCTCCTAAATCCAGCTTGTTCCGGTCGAAGTTTTCATCCAGGTTGACGTGTTTGATTCTCTCCAGGATGATGCGGCTTATTATTTTGCTTGGGATGGACAGGAGCATAATTCCGCGCCAGTTTTTGCATTGACTTAAGTCTCCTTTCTTTGGTAGTTTGAATAAGTATCCTCTCTTCCAATCCTCGGGTACTTTGCCCTCTTTCCACACCTTCTCCAGCAATGGCGTCATCAATTCCGCTGCTGTCTCTGGGTCCATTTTCAAGCTTTTGCTGGATTCCATCTGGTCCTGCTGCTTTTCCAGCTTTTAGCATCTTGATTGCATTCAGGACTTCTGATTTCGTCGGTGGATCGATGTTCACTAGTAGTTCTGCTTCCGTTGTTGGTATTGTTGGATATTAAACTCACAAAGAATTCCAAATGTTACTTGGTGTGGAAATAATCGTTGAACACATTGTCCGGGAAGACTAGGGAAGTCCTGCGAACAAAAGTCCATCGGTATCATCCACCTCAGAAAAAAATCTCCATCATTCCTAAAATACACCTTTGATATAATTTTTATTACTGAATCCAGGATAGTTTTAAAAAAGCGCTTATTAGAAGGTTGGCTACTGAAAGTTCCCTTTTTTATTTACTTTTCATTTTAACACACTGCCTTTTCCACACCTTGCAAAAGGAGTCACTCCATTTTGGTTTACTTAAGAATCACTATCAGGCAAAGTAGTTGAAAATGAGCGCGAAATTTCTTCAAGTTTTTACTTCATAAAAATTGACACAACTTGAAGTTGTTTATGAAAGGCACGATTTATTTTGTCACGTTTACATAACTTAACTCTACGTGACAAAAACTGAGGAAAGGACTACTGGGGAAAATTAAAGTGAAAAATTTACTTAACACAGATGTGTCTCGTTTGAAGATGATGATTAAACTTCAGACATAATAAATTCCCCAAACTAATGATGGCTGTCGGGGGAGAGGTGAGGTGAGAGGTGGGGTGGTGATTCTAGTCGACTGCCTGAAATCCGATGAATATTTTCCATTTATTACTTTGCATTTTCTGCTGGGTAATATTATGAAAAATAAACTAACTCAATTGCTAAATTGAAACTACATTAATTAACTAATTTCATAAATTATTGGAAATATTCAGTGTTGCACAACTGTGAATTCTGGTCTGTTGATTAGTAGTCTTGTTATTAAGATTTAATGTACAATATTTTCCTGTACTGGGTAATTTAAATGCCCTTTTATGTATTAATCACTATTTTTATGTATTATTCGAATCGCTGTAGATAGTGATTTATTTTTTTTGTTGACTAAAAGCCTTTCTTGACCTATTATTCTCATTTCCTAGGATTCATTAAAAAGGGTACATTTACGACTATGAAAAGAATTGTTCCACTATTAGAGTTTCCAAATTTCCATTATTAACTTTACTGAGAGCCTTGTATCAAAGACTCAGAATTATATGCTGTGTTGTTTGCTATATGGTAGTCAATTTATATTATGAACATTATTCAAACCCCTGATTTCCTAGTGGAACTTAGAGCTTTAGTATCACATCTCCACTGATTCCACAACTGAATACAAGTTTTTATTTCCTCGTAACATGACCTCTATGTTATACTCGGGAGCTGAACTTGTTGCTTCACTTTCGGGTTTCAATCTACGGATTACATCTCAATCTCAAGAGAGTATAGACGCGGTCTGCTGAATACAAAGTCGAGAAGGGAATCAGATGTGAAATCAAACCATTTTCCAGTTCCAGGAACCTTTAAAGTCATACTGAAAGCCTTCAGAACAACTGAAGACTGGCCAAAATTCAAGTTCAGCACTCAATCAGCTACCTTTACTACAGATCAGATCAGGTCAGAAAAAAGTCAGAGACACTACGTGTTATCACTGGGGAAAGCTGTGTGGAAGACCATTACAGCTCTCTGAATGTGATGCTTAGGGGAACATGTTTAACCGCTTTATGAGGAAAGAGGAGACACGACAAGGAATGGCTCTTGACGGATACCTGGAAGCTAATAGAACAGAGGAGAGGAGGATAGTGAGAGAAAAGATCATTCATTGAGAAGACGGACAACAGAGAAACAAACTGAGTTCAGAGTATACTACACAGAACAAAGAAGTGAAGAAGAGAGCTAGGAAAGACAAAAGACACAACTCTGACACAAGTGAAGTAGAACAGGCTGGCTGCAGGTAAAACAGACCTCAGGACATCATATCAGATAACCGAGTCTCTACTAGGGAAGAGATCAACTCAGATGATGGAACCAATAAAAGATGTTAAACAAAAGAGGAGACACAAATAAAACAATGGGCTGATCGTTTCAAAGGACTCTTGAGTTTACCGTCACCTGCAACTCCTCCAGAAATATTAGCAACAGCATGCACAAAACTGAACGCCAAAGAAAGCCGAAATCCTGTGTGCGATCAAACTACTAAAAGCTGGCAAGGAGTGCTGATTGAATCGCAACTCTACGCATCGTCATCGAACAAATCGTAGAATGGCAGTCAAACCTCTACCTCAAATTCATCGACTTCGAATAGGCAGCGTTGACTTAGAAGTAATTTAGGAACTACTTCAACACTATAGATTGCTCCAAGTCTTTGTCAACTTCATTCAACAGCTACATGACAATGCTGGATCTCAAATGATCTTGGACAGAAAACTCAGTGAAACATTTAAAGGAAATTGAAGACAGGAGTAACATAAGGCTGTCTGTCTACAATCACCGATGATATTCCGAACGGCAGTGAACTAGATTATACAGAAAACTGTGGGGAACAATAAGATAGAAATACGTTAGACCGAAAAAAATAGTCTAAAAGATCGGCAATTCGCATATGATTTATGTCTAATGTCATACAAACTCAAAGGCTTATTCAATTCATCTATATGGGTGGGAGACTTAGCGCCTGCGTCACTGAAAGCATTTCCAAATGACTACTACTGATCTTTATCAGTAATAACCTTCACTGGTTCCATACTGAAAATCAGTGAATATGGTCTTCTATTGAAACTTCTGAATTGTTCACGTTGGTTAATTTTATTGAACTATAATAATCTGTCTTGATTTACATGTCAGCTCTTGATAGAAAATGCTCTGACAATACCTTAAAGTCAATAGAATGTTATTTAGTGACCCAGTGACCTAGTGAAGCCTCAAACGATGAATTATATTATTATTATTGTTCCCTTGGTTTCCTAGTGGAACATAGGGCTTCAACTCCACGTCTCCACTTGCCACTTCTGTCTTCCTTCTGCTGTACTTTTCACTTGCATCCATGTTAGTCTATACTCTTTCAACCCCTCTTCACACGATCTCCCCATGTCACCCTTTCACTGAAGTCCCACTCACCGCTTCCCTTTCGACCTAGTTCCACTCCATTCGAGCAATGGCCTGACGCGAGTGCGATGACACCCACCGGCCTCCTCAGCGAATGTTCAACCCATCCTCACTTTCTCCTGCATATCTATTGGGAGGCGATTGGTTCTTGTTTCGTTTCTTTCCACAGTATCTTGTTGGTGATTCCTTCCAGCCCGGCCATCTGATCTTCAGTATTGATCCAGCGAAGACAGCTGCTGGTTGATAAAGGTCTGCAACAGGCTGTTGGAAATATTCTTTGTGACCCGCCCTCCAAGTTTCTGACCCGTATAGAAGAACTGACTGACTTGACCACGTTTGTATTAAAAATACCGAATTTTGTTGGTGATGCTGGCTGAGTGACAAAGATTGGTTTTCCAGATTGGTTTCAGGCTGATGGATGTGTTTTCCTTCTCGCTCGATTTGACATTCTCGTCCGTTTCTCCTGTAGTTGAGACAATGCTCTCTAGATAAGTGAGTGAATGAAGTAACCTCTTTCAAATCCCCCCGTTGATGGTAATTGGCCTGGATGTTGCTGCTGTTGTTGTAAGTCGGTTATCTTCATAGCCTCCGTCTTGTCTGTGTTCACCTGGAGTCCTGTCTTCGCTGACTGCCTCTTCGACCAGTTTGTCCGTTTTCACTTGTCAGTCCTCGATTTTGTGTGACATCAAGCATATATCATCCACGCGCGAAATCCAGGTCTTCTAGGTTCTTCACGTCGGTCCAGGATATCCCTGCCTTCTCGTTTCCCACTGTTTGACGCATATTCCACTCAGTCCACCACAATTAGGAATATCATTGGTGATAATAAGCACCTCCCTGTCTGACTCCTGTGTTTACTCCAAACGCCTCACTGAGTTTTCCGCTGGGGATCACTTGACATGTTCCGTTGTCGTACAGCTGTTGAATAAGGTTGATGAATATTTGGGTCACTGTACTCCGTAGTACTCGAGTAGTTTCCAAATTACTTCACGGTGAACGTTGTCAAATGCCGAAACGATGAATACTTGGTGTTATTCTCAATGAAAAAGCCATCAGTCAAATGACAAGTCCCAAAAAGAGGATGAAATGCACATTCTGGATGGTATTGCTAGCCATCAACAAAGGATATTGTTTTCATAAATATCTCAGTTTAAAGTGTAAATCAGAATTTCTGAGATAAACTTCTTTCCTTCAAATAGAGTGGTTTAGTTACCCATGTACCTGAAGAATAAATCCATAAAGAATATGAAAAGCCTACTTAGTCTGTCTTTTCAATTGCGGGAATTCGGTTCTTCAAAACCAACGTGTTTTTTTAAGTGAAAACATTCACTTTTCATTTTGTTTTAAACAAATCAGTATTTTTGTTTGTTTTTGTTTTACATTACAGAGTTTATGAAAGAAGAACAGAATAATCAAAATGACAATACTATTGGAATGAAAAGTGCATGTTCAACAGGTTCAACACCCTCTAAAACAATGGTATGGATAAGATACCCTTGAATTTTATTAAACGTTCTAGTTTTGGTCGATAGTTGAGCATCAAAAGCAACCTTATTACACTCAAGTGTTTATGTCGGTAAAGAGAAACTTTTGTCTAGGAGTTTGTACATGTACACTCATTATTAGATAGTCGGAGGCAATCGGCAGGAAGCCCAGCCTGCTGACCTAGGCTTCATGCTAGTTGGCACTCACCATAGATTGGACACTAGTAACTAGTGCGGTGTGTCTAGTCCTCTATTTGGTGCAGACTGGATTCTATCAATCAGGTTTGCAATGCGGCCACCGGGCCACTAAGTTGCTCACCATCACGGTGTGCATTGATCTGATGATATTAAATGATTAGAGGTAATCTGCCACAGGAAGCCTTGCTTGACCTAGGTTTTGTTCAAGTTGATGCTCACCAGTCACCAAGGCGTATCTTCAGCCTCGAAGGAACTCATTTCCCTCCTGAGATTCGAACCCGCGTTACCCAGTAGGGCTGCAGTCAGAGACGTTAGCACCACTGAGCTATTCAAGCTCGCGATCGACCTCCTGTAGCAGTGTAATGGATATTTTCGATTTGACGCCAGTCAGTGAATAGTATATGTGTGTAGTTCTTTGTTTGGTGAAGACTTTTCAAAGTGCACCGTGGTGTTGAGCCCCCTAGTTTGATGGTGGCCACATTTCCAACGTGACTGATAGAATTCCGTGTGCACCAAATACAGGACAAGACATATTACACTAGTTACTAACTAGTGTCCATTCAGAACATGCAGTATTGTTATATAACTACATAAATGGTTAAAAATCATGCTACTATTTTTAGGATAAATTTATTTTAGTGGAAAATTTAATTTAGAAATAGACAAATGAGAATTGAACGCAACTACACTAGCCATGCTGAGTAAAACTACTATGTGAAACGATTCTACATTAAGACACTATATATGCATGTTGTTCAACTGAGAATTTGCATCTTTCAACTAGGGATTCAGACCAGTTCCAAAAACTCGAATTCAAAATTAATTGATACCTGCCACTACCAATTATGGATTCTATGAAATAACACAAATGATTTTTATCTATGCTACTTGGCTGATAAAATTCAGTGAATGCCAAAGTAAAAGTCCGTTAGCATTTGTTCGGTGATATTCTAGATTCCATAACTTATACACTGACTGACTGACTGACTGGTTTCAACATAGAACTTTGCACAGATGTGCAGCATTTCAGGTCGCCACACTTCACTCAGCACACAAAGCAAAGGAAGAAAGTAAAATGAAACGCAAAATAGAGGCAAGTAAACAGAGATATGAGGCAAAAAAGAATAGTAATATCCAAGAGCAATATAGTTTGATTGGGTGTTATAAGTCACAAGGAGTGGATGCATCTGCACTGTCATTGAGAACGATTTTGGGCCATATCACCAATTGTCTCCAGCCAATAGTGTTCACCGTTCCAAGACCCCAACTAGGAGTCGTTCTACACCTCTTGACGTGGCTTAAACTAACCGTTGTGGATTTCATTGACTGATGAAGCCATGTTTTCTTTTGACCACCACTGGCTCTTTTCCAACCTGACCCTATGTCAGCTAACATTGTCCGTTGAGGAGGGTGACGGCTAGGCTAGGTATGCGTAACACATATACTAACCATCGCAATCAATGTAACTTCATATCCTTGTCCAATGATTTTCACTCTTTACCTATCTCTCTTCACCTAACCTCAATATTGCTCATCCTATTATACCATTTCAAACGGGAGATAGAAGGCAGACATCTATGATCAAAGACAACTAGCCAGCCTTTTCATGTCTTCCACTGTCAATGACAAGGTTTCAAAGCCATTGAGGAGGACGAAGAGGACTGCCCTCCTAACAAATACAAAATCTGTTTATGCTATCATAATAGGGAGGTATTTATCAACAAAGTTAATAGATTAATAACAGATGGTGAGACTATATGGGGGGAGTCTTAAGCTTTCTTCATTCTTTTGTGTCACAAATGAAACCTAGGCCTTCAAGCTTTGAAGTTCCAGTAGAAGTGATATTATTTTTTACAGTGTTGCATAGTTAACCCTGCCCCCAAACACCCCTCTTTTCCCAAGCTTACTGCTGGCTAGCGAACTAAGTGAGGTTTAAGAGTGCATCGGCCAGGAATCGAATCCTGTACCACATAGGTGGTTAGCTAGCATTCTGCCATCGAACTACCGAAGCTTTGAGTTAACAGACTATTACTCACATGATGTAATATATTATTCCCCTGGATTTTGAGTGGAACCTAGTACTTCAACAGCCCACCTTCATTTCATGCTCTTCTGTGCTCCATGATTCCGAATAAAGAGAAGATCAGTAGTTCAGAGAAGATTTGCTTTTCTGCGAATTTATTTTCTTAGCTGTACAACCACAAATATATATGGGTTGCTTTGCTTGTATGTGTACATCAAGTTTTTTAAACAAAAATACCATTGGTTATGGTTAATTTAACTAAACAGGTGAGAATTAGACAGTTTTGGGTGGAGTTACGTAATACAAAAAGTATGCAGAGGAATTAGATGTTGATATAGGAGGGTAGTAGCAAAAGTGATGAGTTATCACAAGCGATTGTTAAAGAAGGGTTGTGTAATAACATGAATAATTTGATGCAAAAGTTGTGCTCAGGTTGAATATGGAAACAAAATAAAATACGGATTAACGTAAGAGTATTAAGTAGTTAGAAAAACGAACAAAAAAGCAAGAGCCAAGTCAGATCAACAGAGTTGTTACCATGAGTAGTTGTATGAGTAGTTAAATAATTTTCTTTTTTATGCATAGTTCTGGTTCTTCCAACTGAATGGCTAGGGCTTCTGCATTGCAAAGAAGACGGAAACGTATTGCCTTTGGCAGGTTGCTCTTCACTTTGTAGATAACTTTGAAGGAGGCGATTGTTGAGATTGCACTCTATATACGGCCACTACATCCTTTCTGCAACCACGCTGGATAGTGTTCTTTGACCCTTTTTGACAGAATGCACATCGAACGACCAATGTACTTGGCTCCACAGCAACAGGTCAACTGATATATACACATAGAAGTGATCAGGTGCCAGATTTTGTCTTCTGGGCTTCTGCAGATCAGCGAGAGACTGGCGAACACTACTTTCAATGTTGCTGCGAAGAAAGTTCTGGCTAAAGGAGTGGAAATTCTTCTCTTAAGTATATCACTGAGTAGGTCACCTTGGAAGTCGAGGTTCATGTAAAGTATCTTTTTTGACACGGATGGTGTCTCTTGCTTTTGGATTTTCTGTTTGATGTTTTCGTTTATGAAACTTGGTTGATATCCGTTTTGTATGAAGAAGTGTAGTTCTTCTTCTAGGGTATCAGAGCTACAGATGCCTTGGACCCTAGCGACTTTAACAATAACAATAACAATTTCGCTTTATTCCAGAAACAGTACTTGTGGTACAGTGTGGAATTTTCAGCACATATCTACAATATTGCATCTAATTTCATCATACATTTAAAAGGAGTATTATAAAAAAAATAAAATATTTAAAAAAAAAAAAAAACAATAACAACAAAAAACCAAAAAGAAACACAGAAATAACAAAAAAATGCAATAAAAATACCAAGTAAAAAGGAAGATAAACACAAATAATGAAAAAATATTTCAGTATTGGTTAGTGGAAGCTACGATATGAGTATGCGTGGTGAACAGTAACAGCTATAATCATACGGGAAATTATGAGATGTTCTTAAAAAAATGTTTATAGCTAAGATGATCAGTTAATTTGATTGAACAACACTAAGCAATCATAAGATAAACATTTCAGGTTGTGTTTTTTTTTATTGTCAGCACTAATGCGGTTGTTTGTAGTGGTAGTGTGAGGAATCATGCATAATACAAAATTTTTTAAGATGTGGATAGTGGCAATAACAAACAAGATTGTCAGTTAAATAGTGCCGAACAAAGAACAACCACAAAACTAATGTTACATGATGGTTAATGACGGGACAATTTTTAATAATCATAGTGATAATACAGTCGGACCCAGTAGATGTATAAAGGAGGAATAGAATAAAGAATAAAAATGTAAGCCAATGATAATGATTTTAAGCAGCTAAGTATGTTTAAGAAGGTTGTTCACTATAGAGTACAAATAAGAGAGTGTAAGGGGGAAATAACAAGGGCCAAAATTATGTTATTAACAACAAAGCAAGTCATAGGTTTCACGCCTAACATTGTCTCTGTCACTTAGAACACGGGCCAAATATGGTATCGTTGAGTTCCTATACTTGGTTGTACGAGCATATATTATTTTGTACTGATTTCTGGTTCTACCTGATGAGATGCAAGGAGAGAGTTGGGAATAGAGGGGGTGTTGGCAGTCAGAGAGTATGGTTTTAGACCATTTCTCACATGTATTCAGATGCTTATCCACTAATGTTGTGACGAGCTGACTGAGTTTTACACCGCTAGTCCTACTAACTACCTTCAACATCCTTCTCAGGATGGTATAATCCTTTTTCAGTAACCCAGGAAAGACTAACGGGGAACAGTAAAGTAGAATAGGTAGGATACGAGAGTTGACAAATTGTGAAAGCAGAGGTTGAGTGACTCCAGTTAGTCTGAGTTTCCTAATGTAGTAGGTTAGACGAAACACTTTCTTCGAAATCATTTGGATATGAGATGACCAGGTAAGGTCGGAAGATATAACTAATAAGATATAACTTTTATCTCCTCTTCACATAATCTCCTCCACGCCAACCTCTGACCGCCAATTCGTCTTTTAGCATTCCCATTCTACACAAGGGTCTGCCTTTCGTGGGATGCCATTCAACAGTCTCCTTAGTGAATGTCTAATATATCTCCATTTCGATTCGCATATTTTTAGGCCAATTGTTTATCAGAGCTCCTTTGTAACTGATCCTTTCTGACCATCTCGTCTTGAACATGAAACGAAGACAACTATTAGTGAAACTCATAATAATATTCCACCGAGGAAATGCTACTAGTGTCTAATATTGTTCTTACTGTTTCTAAATATGAGTTAGACGATGATATCTTTTACACCTTTTTTAATTTTTTAGACTTTCAATACATTTCCTGTAAACATTCATCATGTCCATCAAAATCCTGATTATTACGCGAAAGAAATGATATATCACCATCCAATGGAACATAACTCAAATGAAGCATCTTATGATATTTCCCTTGAAAATATGAAAGTTCCTAGTTCATCAACTCTGTTAAACAATTATACAGCCTTTGTTCCATCGAATCCTGGACCGACTAATAATCACTTACACGGAACTGCTATTCACTCTCCACTAACTAGAACACTTCAATGTCGAATCCCAGTAGAAGATTCATTATTCCACGAACAGAAATGTACACTGATTAAACCAGTCAATTCAGTGAACTCATGGTCCCCACCACCGTCTCAGCCGCCACATTCACTAGGCAAAAATCACACCTACATGCAAGTTAATCTTAACAATACTGGAAGTATACCGGCAAAGACATCACTCCAGAAGACGTCACCTAATGATACTTATTCACAAAGTGTCTACCAAACTATAGATACACGATTGATAAAAATTCCACACTTGAATGCTTCACTAAACAACGCAGTATGTATTACGAATGCAGTTAACGCTGTCACTCCTACACTGAAACGAGATCATTCAGGTAAATCGCATGTGACGAATTCGAACCATGAAAATAATAATAATAACAGTAGTAAGGTTCACTTTAACAAAACAAAAACTACACTATTATTAAAAGAAAATGTTCAACAGACAAATGATAACTTAAAAATATCAAAAAATACTGATCCAGAAACCAGTGAAACTAATGAATCGTTATTACGTAAACCTTTATTGCAAAGAGCTAATTCTGAAAGATCGCCTTATTTCCAAACTAGTTTTGTGTAAATAATCTTATATGTTATCCTCACAGGCATACACTCACAAATTCACCTGCCTACTTTACACTGTAAACTCATGACGACTACTGTGTTGAACAACCCCTTGATTAACAATGATGACTTTATTGTGATGCTTATGATTTAGTGCAATGATATCTGCCTACCGGGTAGACAGACAGCTATGCTGCATACTGCTTCAATGTATCTCTTAAAATTGGCTTAATTTATTTTTCTGTTGTTTATCTGTGTAAAGCTGCCTGCATAATTTAAAAATCTTTAAAGTTTTGGCAGAAATTATCTATCTTTTTTCTTCTGTGTATATACCTAGTTCATTAGGCTTCTAAGTACTTTGCGTCTTTTCGCGTTTCACTAGCAGGAACCAAATACTTTAACTGACCGATTTTCTTTTACGAGGTTCTTCATACGACTGTCGTGTAAAACAGTGGATGAACTCTTCTAGAAGAGAAAGAATATTAGAAAGGAAAATTAACCATATTTAAAATTAATAGTTATTATGTAAAGAATATTTCACAAATGATAATAATAATTTGTTCAAGTCAATTTTGATTTTTCTTCGTTGACTGACCGGATCAAAATATCCAGCCTCTGTTGGCATATCAGCTTCTAGTACGAGCTCCTCGACGATATCTGAAGATTAGCATGATGTTTATCTGGTGGATGGTGACTAGCAGTGGAAACCAGGATGTGTGCTTCGTCCTATGTAGGACTCGTCGCCTGTATGTACCCACTTTCCCCAGTGAGTGAGTCAGTGTGTGATGGTGTTCCCCCTGAGACTCGAACCCTGTACTCATTGTCCCAAACACTGAAGTGTTATCCACTGAGCCAGTGATGCCATGAGAGTGGTTGTTGGGTAATGGGTATCAGTCATTGCTTGTCTAAGCCTATTTTTTATTGATCGATGATTGATTATATTAGACTGAAATGTTCCGCCTATGCTGCCATGTCGGCTCCTAACAGAGGTGTCTTGACGATGTCTGGATCTCACTGCTAGTCACCATTCACCAAATAATAACAATGTTTAATGCATTATATAAATATATACATGCAAATTTAATCATAATAATATTTCACGTATTCAAAAAGATTTTCTTGTTTAAATGTATATATTACTGACTTGAAACTGATGGAAATCGCTCTCCTTTAATTTTAATTATACATCAGCCTAAATCGAGAGGCTGCTAAAAATTTGTTTCGTCCTAGTTCGTCATTCCTCATCAGTACGCATCTGTGACCCAAACTCCAGGGATCGACTCCAAAATCTTCAGGTTACAAGGCGACTTCTTTGAGCAGTCTTCACCAGTGAGGTCCGCCAGTTTGGGGCAAGGACAAATACACGCCGATGACATTGGCTAGCGGTTGCGCTATACATCGCAAACTGATAGATATTGGAATTCATGAACGATTAAATTCCATTCCATTGACTGAATGGTCAACGAGCTCACCTATTAACCTGAAGGTTCTAGGTTCGATCCCTGATCTGCTCATCAGTGAGTATGGCTGGAGGGTCCGAAACAACGACGAAACAGTTGCCCAGTGCTCCCGGGTTATTTCCAGTGGCTCTCTAACCTAAGTCAGTTCTTGATCAGTCTTGAAATTAATCAAATCCCTTCAAACCAACACTCAAAAAATACAGTGAATGTCAAAATAAACTAGGCTGATCTGTCACTTATAAAAAGGAATCATCAGCTTATTTGAAAACTTAAAAAATACTCATCCAGACATGAATATAAAAGCAAAGAGTACAGTAAATAGTTTCTTTTCGATGAAAGCCTACGTAGAAGGGCTAAGTGACAAACATTTACTCTTAGGTATCCGTGAATCGCAAGCGGAACCTGATAATATCTCTTGTGACTAGAATCTACAGAATATGTAGTCCCGAATCAGTAGAAGAAGAGTTCACTCTTTTGAGTAAGACACTACCTGGCAATGACTATCCACCACGCTTTATAGATTAACATATAACGCTGAAAATCAACAAAGAACAACCAATCTCTCTGCTGGAGAAGATGCTATGCATGAATGTGGCGTTTAAAAGCGACCTTCTGGCTGACATCTTAAAGAGAAAAATATATATAAAGCCCTGAAACGAACATTCCCTGCTCCTACATTACGACTGGTATTCTCAAGCCGCCAATTGTTCCTCAACTACTCCAAAAAAAATTATCACATTTGGCCACTTCTATGTGTATCTGCCAATTTACTTGCTTATGTGGAGCAAGCGAGATATGCAGGTTATTAGGTGCGTATTTTATCCAAAAGAATCAAAGAACATTATCCCAGTCAGCTACGAAAGGTAACAATGGATAAATAAAGAGTGCTACAATTGAAAATACATTCGGCACTGCTCACTCAATATGTAACAAAGATTCAATCACAGTTATCTAAAAAGTTAAAAAAAAAAAGCCTTCCGAAAACGGTAAGCCTCCATACACTTTACATTTCGGAGGCCTTAGCGATTTGAACGGATAAACCTAATTTATGTACACAGAAGAATCTTCTTCCTCCCCCCGCCCCCTTTCCGCCTTGGGTGTAATTCTAAGTTTATTAATACTGTATTTCGCAATTTTCTGTATAACATTTCAGTAACGTCTTTTTCTTAACTATCTCTCTATTTACTCTTTTCACCTACTACATAAGTTATTTTAAACACCTGTTGTAACAACAGAAGACAAGGGCGAAGCAACAGATCGTTTTATTATGAAAATCAACACGTATTTATATATATTTCACATACATTATTACAGCTTATGCAAGTAGACAAGCGCAGTCATCTGATTGGCTGTTTATCAGAAGTTAGGCCGACAAACGCAGGCTTTGATTGGTTGTTTCGGGATTCCTCGACAAATAGAGTTCTCTACCTGCGAATCATATTTTGCCACGTTAACTTTGCTGTGATTGGTTGTTGAATCAGCCTTGCTTATATTTTCTCACGGCCTGCTCTCACCACACTGTCTCCACGCTCTGTCAGTAACATCCTATTTTTCTGGATGTCTTTCATATTAAGTAACCATAGTTAAGACTTACAAATCTTCACCTCCAGTCCTAGTTACAACTTGACTATTCATCATAGATTTTGAAATATTTGTTTTTGACATAAATCATAATCCTCACTCAAGATGGCCAGAAAAGATCAGTAACAGGGATCTCTGGCAATGAGCTAACCAACACAGCAAGAAACCAACTGTGCAACAAATATGCAAGAAGAAATGGAGGTGGATTGGCCGGTCATATTCTGAGAAAACCATCAAGTGAATGACATCACACGCCAGACCATCACTCGAGTGAAACACGAATGAGAAGCAGCGAGGTGGTGGTCAGTGCAAGGATGACATGGAGGAGGTGATCTGAAGAGGATATTAAACCATGTGGTCATACCAGAAGCCAGGTGAGAAAGTTGGCGGATAACCGAACTCAGTGAAGACGTTCAGCTGAAGCCTTACATTACTCTAGGAACTAAAGAAAACAGTTATATATATATAATTTCGATTGTATAGCCTAGTGAATGAATTCACGGAAAAGAGACTCTTCTCTGAACTATTTGGTCTTGCATTAGAAAACATCTACATTTTATTGATCTCTATTTGATGAAGCTTACCCCATAGTTAAAGCTGTTTCATTAGGAACTTTAATTATCACTCAGTTTTCAAACATTGCAATTATAGTTATAAATAGCAAGCATTGGAAGCAAAGTAGAGTACTAACTATAGCATTGACGATTAGCCCTTCTATACAATTGGTACTCATTGTATTCAATATACACGGATTCCTATTCATAAAATTGCTTTCAGTCATGTACTTCTAAATGTTTAAGTTGACAATTTCAAGCATATGTATGAATTACCTCTTGAAACTTGAAGTGCTCAATGATTTTATGCAGATTTCGCTACGGAAATAGTTAAAACTGCTTTGTGTTAAAACCTTATACAGGTTAGTGACCCTTCTTACTTTCACGGAAAGAGTAAAGAATATACCAGAGACTATTTTAGGTATAGACAGACCTAGAATAGGAAAAAACAGCAAGTTCAGCGATGAAATAAATATTTTTATTCCTTCGTGTTCCTAGTGGAATATAGGGATTCAAGCTAGAAGCTTGAAGTTTCAGTAGCAGTGGTGTTTATCTTTATGTGGTGGCGTTGCTGTCCTCATGCCCGACCTTCCCTATTCACCAGTCGCATTACCAGCTTAGCACGGCGAAGGAGTGCGTCAGCCGAGGATCGAACCACGGACTATATACACCGTTGGCGAGCATTCAATTAGTTCCTCATCTACAATAAGAGATAGTTTCTAACATCAAAATTTCTTACCAGTCAACTGGTTATTCTAATCAGTCAATTTCAGGTAAAGGGGGTGAAACTGAGAGGTTAAAGGTCATCAAAACAATTAACTAATAGATTTTAGTAGCAGGATATCTAAATATTAAAGGATGGGTGAACATTGATTACGGAATTCAAGATAAGCTGATTCTTAAGCATTGGCAACACACTACTACATAATCAAGAAGTTTGTAAAATATCAGTGATGACCAAGAAGAATAGAATGACTCAGAAAAGTTACGCAAAATACAAACAAGTTAGTAGAATTTGCTAGAATTGTGAAAATTAACAAAGTCAGAAGGCACTTAGTTACTAGGGGAGGGGAAAAACCTTTTTTTTAAACCCAGTACATGTGATATAGTTGGCCATGGCAAAGAAAGGAGCTGTACAAATTTCTTTTGATTACACACATATGGCTTGTTCAGATGAATCCCGATTGCATGTGATGTATGTAAGAGTTGTGCTCGTAGAGCATGAGAAAGGTTTGGTGAAATACGATAAATAACTTCAAAAGATTATAGGTTTCCAGACCGTAGGTGTTACGAATTTCCTGGAATAATTTGAGCTCCGAGTCAGATTGATTCATTATAAATTATTTAAATTAATCCCAGCGTGTTAAGAAAATCAAAACAAGATTTTTCTGAACGTTTCGCCATGTAAGCCACAGCTTCTTCAGCAGATTTATTCGGATTATAATTAATGGATTAATTATAATCCGAATAATAACTTCAAAAGCTTTGTTAGAGTCAACCTGACGTCCAGTGTTCATGACGAGACGAGCTAGTATTGAGCTGCATGTGACTTTATTCGGACCTTTACCGAACCAAGATGGGAAGTGTTCAGAAATTCGACGATGAACTTGTTTGATCGTACCCCTTATGTAAATAGCTCCACATGGTCAGTTAAACTGATAAGTACACATGGAAGCGGCAAAACAACATTATCCCATTTGAACTGACGTCAGCAGTTTTACGCGTGAACTGATATGAACTAGTGAATGTCGTGTCGCTTGAATCCTACTTGGTGTTCACAGAAGCGAAGATGATGGTACTCGTATAGTATTTTTCACCACTGATCCAATCTGTTTTACACACGACGTTCTCTTTTGCTGTCGGGTCTTTTATTTTATCTGTAATTGCTTGAAGAGACTCTTTGGTGTGTAAGTGAGAGAGTGATGTGGAAGAAAACAGTTCGAAATAGAGATTTGGTACTAAATCCCTGTGTCCCACTTAGAATTCAAGTAAATAGCTTTTACAGCTAATGAATAAATTCTGCTTGGAATTTCACCTGTGTATCCCCCTAATCAACGTTTAATGCTATTTCAGATGAAGGTTAAGCTCAAGCATAGAAAGCTTATAAGTGAACCAATATGAACACATATTCGACCATCTTTTCAAGC